GAAGCTATAGAGAATAGAAAGATTATTCTCTGAAAATTTTCAACTACTAAGTAATCTCATTTGTTATAGTAAGGGGAGCAAGTAGCTTGATAGTATAGCAATCGCTTTCCACTAACTGCCATGTAAATATTACTATTTCATTAAGCAGAGGCAAACCTCCAAAAATTGGTATCTTCTTTGTTTGAAAATTATACTCGCGAGTTTTAATACAAGACTTGCATCTAATTTAAAATTAATTGATAATAAATAAAATAGTTTTTTTTTTTTATATTTAACCCATATACTTTTTTATTATATACTCAATATAACATTTTCTCACTTAACACTTCATTTCTCTTTTGTATGACCATATGATATTCTTGGATAAGATGCATTTTAATGGAATCTGTGAACTAAATTAAATTCTTAAAAAATTCAAAGAATAAACAAGACACTGGTATTCACGAAATCGCCACCTGACATCTGGTTGTGTGAAACAATTTCATTCAATTCAAAATTAATGGACACAATTAAACAAAAAAAGAGTGCTGCAATCATTATATATAGTAAAAACCTTCTTTTGTATCCAATTGGTAAGCAAAAGGCAATCAAGAGTTTGATAAAGTTGTTGTACTCTTGCCTAAAAAACAATTTGCATAAGTTGTAAAGCCCTTTTCTTTGAAGGTTTCCATTGGTTGAACAAGAGGGATATATAGGGAATTGCAATTACAATTCAGATATAAAGTGTTGTATCTATGATTTTGATGATTACAAAACACATTTAAATAACTAATTTGTTAATTTAAGTGTGTAGTTGAACTTTCAAAAGATTGCAAAATTAAGTGAACTTGGACTGCACTAAACAGGACTGAAAAGCCTGTGAATTGTGCAGAGAGTCAACTTTAGAAATTTGCAGCAAGCTTTGGTGAACAAAATTGTAGAAAGCCGACTTTAGAACCTATAGCCAATTTTATGGGCAAAAGTTTTAAACTTGCAGTTTGGAGCGTGCGGAAAACAAACGCAAAGCCAACTTTAACTTTGCAATCGGTTATGATGGCGCATTTAATGCATAACAGTCAAGTTATTTAAAGATTCTTTAATCTTTTTAAAGTTGAATTGTCAAAATCGGCTTTACGTTTTTGCAGCCAACTTTTAAGAAAAATAGAATGTGAAGAAGGCGGCAAAACCAGTTCTACAAAGCCAGCTCTACTAACAAATCTGTAACATGAACATACTTGATTTGCAGAGCATTTAATGACCCCTAATGACTAGAGACAGCTATTTTCGACCAAGGGGCTATAAATATGATTGGTAGCAAATCTAAAATAAGTTTTTGAGCATTGTATTAAATATCTTTATCTCCCAACTTGTGCTTTTAACTTGAGTTTTGATCTTTAAGTGATATTTGCTGGTAATCCTCTTCTTGTTCTACTTATGTGTTGTCTTGAAGGTGTGATTATTCTTTCAAGAGTGATTTGTAGAGAGGATTCTTGGAGTTTATCTTGTAAAAGGGTGAGATTTGAGAGAAATACCCTTCTTCTTCTAAAAGAATTGAGTAGCTCCTTTAAGTTATCCTTGTTTTTTTTAGTGGATAGTGTGGAGGAAATCCTTGGTGAGTGAAGCCAAGGTAGAAGATTAGTCTCGAAGTGGTTGGATCGAATCTTTATAAAATCATTATGCAAGCTCTTCTTCCGTACTCTCTTTTTAATTTTTGTTTGGTGATTGCAAAGAAGTGAAAATTTTTAAACTCCAATTTACCCCCCTCTTAGAGTGCATTGAGTCAACATAAAGAAAGTAATTGGTAGAGAAAGAAAGAAGGGAGGAACCATAAGAGAAAAAAAAACCAAAAAAAAAAAGCTTTTTTTTTTTTTTATTAACCTCTCAGTATCAAATAATCACATTGAGTCTCGACTAATTCAGAATTAAATCGCGTTAGATCCCATAAGGGGGAAGCTCTCCCAACGTTTATTTCTCCATTTACAAGATTTAAACAAGAGACCTTGCTCAAGCGAAACCAAATTCCTTGCATTTGGATCAATAGGTCGTTGGTAAAAAGAGAAGTTTTATTTCCTATTAGACAAGAGATCCTTAAAATTTTGAAAGATTTTAAATTTAAATTATTAGATAAATTCACTATATTTAGGGTCCATTTGGTTGGTTAGAAAATAATTTCTATAAATTATTTTTTATATATTTTTTGGTGTATTGTAACCATTTAATAAATAAGTCACCAAAAAATAACTTCAGCCAATAAAAAATATTCTTTACACTTTTAAAAAGTAACTTTCAAATAATTTTTCAAAAAGAAATAAATACATGTGGTCAAAATGTTATAAATCACATTGAAAAAAACTACACTTATCGCAAATCGAAAAAACAAGTTCATAATAAAATTGTTGGAAGTATATATTACATTAATCAACAGTACTACCTAAGCCATACAACTATTGTATTACTTATTATTAGTATGTTCCAACTATGTGTTATATAAATAAAATATTAACTGCACCGCGCAATTTATACCGCGTTCACATATTATTGAAAAGAACTATATATTACATTAATCAACACTACTACTTAAGCCATACAACTATTATAGGCAAAAGCCTACTTTTAAATTTTTACCTTGTTAGATTTGTAGATTTTAGTTCATCGCCTTATATTATGACATTTTCGTCTCTCACTTATTAAAATGAAAGAAAATAACCCTCATTTATAATATTTTGTTGGTTTTGTTAGTTGATTGTTAATTTTATTAGCTGATTGTTAACTAATTGTTAAATTGCAAAAACTTACTTTCAGTTAATAGAGATAATAGTCTGTTAACAAAACTATTATGTTAATTGACTGTTAACTCTATTAGTTGATTGTTAGTTGACTATTAACTGGCAAAAACTTACTTTCAACTAATAAAATTAACAGTTAGTTAACAGAGTTAACAATCAGTTAACAGAATTAATGAAATATTATAAAGTGAGAGCTATTTTTTTTTATTCTAATAGGTGAGGAGTTAAAACTTATAAATCTAATAAAGTAAATGACTAAAAGTAGGTTTTTGCCACTATTATATTACTTATTATTAGTATGTTCCAACAATGTGTTATATAAATAAAATATTAACTTCACCGCACAATCTACACTGTGTTCACTTGTTATTGAAAAAGAAAATGATATAAAAATAATTTTTTATATAATTTTGGTTAAATCCCTAATTTGGTCCATGAACTAAAAAAATCTCTGATTTGGTCCCTAAACTATTATACGGATCTCCAATTTGGTCCTTACTGTTTACCAATTTGCCCCAAATTAGTCTTTTCATACAAAAAAAAAGCTTACATGTCTAGTATTTAACAACGAAAAACAATAACTTAACGACAGAAAATAGTAACTTAACGTCCATCTGGCACATTAATAATGAGACACATCAGTTGTTTTTGTATAGAAAGACCAATTGGGGCAAATTGGTAAACAATAGAGACCAAATTAGGGATCCGTATAATAGTTCAGGGATCAAATTAGGAATTTTTTTTAGTTCAGGACCAAATTAGGGGTCCGTACAATAGTTCAAGGATCAAATTAGGGATTTAATCAATAATTTTATATGTCATTTATATGATTAGTTAGTTATTTATTAAAAATTTATGATATTAAGTACATTCATTTAATAATACATAAAAATTATATAAAAAAATTATCTTTATATCTTCACCTAACCAAAAAAAAAATGAAGTTTATTATTTTCAATAGATTTCCTAAATTGGAAATTAATTTTACAAGTCCTGGGTCCATACTCTCTCATTTCAAAATATAAGTCACTGGATTATTTTTACTAATTTTAAATAATATTTTTTTATAATAAAAAA